TAACCCGTTTGCATCCCTATAACTAAAACTTAGTTGGATGGTGTTTGGATCGTGCAACTAAAAGTTTCATAGACACTTATGAGCCTTATTTTTAGATCAAAGACCTTAGTTCTGCTTATATTGAAAGTAAACGAGTCTGCTGGGATTTCCAGCTTACAATGAGAGTATTTAGTCCAACGAGCGCTTACAAAAAAAGAAACATTACAGCAAAAGCACTCAAAGTCTTCTAGAAAGCGAAAACAGCACAGATAGTAGAGCAGATGCCTCCATTCTTTGTTTCCACTTCAACACCTCTAACACAAAACACCTCTTGATTAGCGTCAAGTCAAACACATCCAGCAAAACGTCCTTCAGGCTTGGTCTTCAGAGCGCCAAGTTCACCACGCCATCAATCCTTCTTGCAGCGTCCTGATCAGGTCCTCCATCTTCAGCTTGTCCACCGGCTTCAGAAGCTTCATCCACTATGACAGAAAACCCATCACCATATGGGCAATGGCCTTAGGGGATTTAACTGACACATTATTAAAAATCTAATCATTCCTGATCTTCCACAGACTCCAGGAAACACCAGCCAAGATGTAAAAAGTAGCATTACTGTTACCCAAGCCAACCCCAGCATATCCTCATAATGTTGCATAAAGGTTGGTCCTTATGAGCCTTATTAGCTAAGTTTTCTCATATAATAGACTACTCAAAGTTCTTAGTTTGTGTACGAGCTAAAAATTTACTCGACCTAGCCTGCGTGCTTGGATAAACTAGGGACTACATTTTAATGATCTGGTCCCTAAGAACACGTGCAAATCATCGGTTGGGGGAGGGTTGGGTAACTGCTCCGGGCCTCAATCCCAAGTCCATATGTATTCAGTAGGTATATAGCATCATGGTCAAAGCCCAGCAGCAAACCGAGAAGGCCTGAAGTAGTTGGCGTTCACGGCTCGTCGGCTCCTTTGGTCGTCGTGATCAACTCGGTGGCCCCATGAACGTGCGCTACCTCGAGCAGTCGGTTCGCTGTTGTGTGAAAGGCCGAGCGCGAGTTCGATCCCTAGGCCTTCAGGTTTCTCACCGGGGTCTATCCCCAAAACAATTTCAGTTGGCTCACATGAATGATCTGCAACTGTCATACTTCTCAGCCATGTTATCTTAGGCCTAGGTGACTCCTTGTCTAGCGATAGAACCCCCACAAACTCGCGACCTGTCATACTTCTCAGCTATGTTGTTTAGGACATTAAGGATTTTCAAAGTGATTTGCTATTTTTCATGGTGTTAGTAATTTTCTATGCGTTTCACTTTTGTGATTTGACATGAAATGGTGCATCCACTTTTATGAAGCATATATATTATGCCTGTGTCAAAAGAATTGAAATTTTTCTGCAATAATATAGACCTAAATCATGGCTCCACACAAAACCTTAGATTTTTCTGATCAATTTAGATCATTATTGCATTTTATTTTGTTCTAAAATGGAGAAAGAAGGTTGAGTTACCCATTCAAAATAATATAATTTTCTATCTACCCCTAGCAAATTAGGTTCACTACATATGAGACCCAGTATAAAAATTTGGTACGCTTTTGGATTGTTTCGAGGGTAGCCTCACTTCAAACTCCAATTACTTTGTACCATCATGCAGAAATTCATTTAAACTATAGAAAATAGCAAACCACCTCTGAAAAATCTAAAACCTACACTACTACAAAAAGAATTTATAGCAACGACCTCTTTTTTTTTAGGGGCGGCTCTATATTGAGCCGCCCTTATAAATGGTGCCCAAACGAGCCGCCCCTACGAATAGACGTCGAAAATTAAAAATTAAGCACTAAAATTTGATTTTTTTTTCAAACGACCTTGGATGGAGAAATGATCAAAATAAAAGTGGTAGATCTCAAAAAGTTATGAAACTATGCTGTTTACAACCTTTTCATTTGAAATCATTTACCGCTTCAAAATACTGTTTAAAATTTAATTTTAAAATTATTAAAGAACTCTGATTTCTCTTTTTAATCCCTGACTAAAACTTGTAACTAGTCTTTCTCCCTCACACTAACTAGTCTTTGTCTCTCATACTCTAATATCCTGCGTGCATGTGTGGGTTTGGTGGTGTGTGTGCGCGTGGGTTTTGTTGTGTGCGTGGCATTTTCTTTTTATTTTCTTCTTTTTTTGTTAATTAAATCTTTATTTAGAAAACAAATTGTGAAGTATACAAATAATTATATACATATAAGCAGAGATATATAAATATATATATGCATATATACACAAATACATTTGGCACAAATTGAGTTTTCACACTAAAGTAATAATTTAATTATTATTTTAATACCCAACTCAGCCACATATATATTATAACATTTATTTATTGTTATTCATATATACGTACATGTGTATACTTTTATCTACATATACACATTTATTTCTTTGACTTGTCAGTTACTAGAATAATATATGATTATGGACAGGATTAATGACATTGATCAACACCTACAGTGTTACTAGATCCGTCTTGGTAGTTGGACCCAGCATGCCACCTTGGACAACAATATTAATAAAATCAATAAAATAATTTGTGACACACCATCCTTGCAAATTACTCTTTATGGATGGCAAATATTGTCATAATATACAATTGGACTAGCATTAAGATATTTTTTGTAACAAACATTTACTTATGTCACTAAGTTTGGATGCGTCTAGAAAAATCGTCATAAACTAGTTGATTTAATGACTTTTTGACCTGATATCATGCCATAAAACATCATAAACCAATACATTTCTTGTAGTGTCGTGACTCTTCATCTCTCCTTGATCGCCAGGGCGTTTGAATTGGAGAACACTTGAGACGAGAAGAAAGTATTTGCATGCGTTGATTATTTGCGCAATCAAGCAAATAAGTAGCAGCCACTGGTAGAGAACAGAGCTTTACTCCCGGTGGGGAACCCCCTCTAGTCCCGGTTCCCCACCCGGAAGTAAGCATCCGGGACTAAAGGGGGTCCTTTAGTCCCGAGTCAGGAACCAGGACTAAAGGGGGACCTTTAGTCCCGGTGGGTAACATCAACCGGGACTAAAGGTCCTCCCAGCTTTAAAAAAATAATGCCTCCTACCGCTGCGTCCTGTGAGATTCGAACCCAATACCCCATGTATTGCCTCGCGCGTAGCTTACCACCCCACCTACACAACACATCTAACAATGGATGAAATGCTTCCCTTTTGAACTAACCCATCGGGGGACCTTTAGTCCCGGTTGGTGTTACCAACCGGGACTAAAGGGTCCTTTAGTCCGGGTTGGTGTTACCAACCGGGATTAAAGGGTCTACTTTTAGTCCCGGTTGGTGTTACCAACCGGGACTAAAGGTTGATGCCTTTTAGTCCCGGTTGGTGGCTCCAACTGGGAGTAAAGGTTCACCTTTAGTCCCGGTTCTCCAACCGGGACTAAAGGTCCTCTGCCACTGTGCCGAGCGCAGTAGCCGTTGGGCAGGGACCTATAGTCCCGGTTGGAGACACCAACCGAGACTAAAGGTCTCTTTAGTCCCGAGCACAAAAAATGCTGGAACTAGAGCCCATTTTAACATCGGATGAAAGGTCTGTTCTCTACTAGTGAGCCATATGCATACTACACTAGCATCCATACTAGTCACTCATTAGATAAGATTGATATTGATTCCATCATCGTCAATGACTTCACATCGAGAAATCATTGTTGGATGAGATTAATATTGATGCCATCAATAATGACTGACAACGAGGAGTGTAAAGGAAGATTTTTTTAAAGAAAAAATAATATGTATGAATCATTTTTTGCGAAAATTACTTTTGCATTTGCAGTTAAGTGTTTATTAGTAACATTTCATATTATGTGTATATAAGGGTTCTGAATTTTGGTTTCGTCCCGGACAAAAAAAAAAGGTCGCCCATCCGTGCTCTAGGTTACCATTACCCCTGCTTGCTCCATTTGTGGCCACCCCCACTCATCCCGAGCCACCGTCACCCTCTACTGCACCTCCATGGCCTCCCTAGCCCATCCCATTCTTCGGGTCTCCCCTGCGGCCCTGCTCTGGTGGATGAACTTCCATGGCAGCTCCTCAGTGCATGCGTCCTCAGTACAAAAGACGAGCTAAGTAGCGGACCAAGAAAGAAAGGACCAAGGAGGAGCAAGACAAATTAAGAAGGGACAGGCTTGAATCTTGAGTGAGACTCGTGAGTTTTCCTTGTATTTTGTTCGAGTCTGATTTGAAGATAGGTGGTAGCTCTTCTCTTCCACTTAAGCAAAATACTGAGTTGAAGGTAGGTGGCATCTCTTCCCTTCCCTGCTATCCGGGAAAAAAATTGGATGCATGCCGTATGCACCGGCCTCTCCTGCATACATGCTGTAGATGAATGCCACATGTTCTCACCTCATGATCCAACAGCACGTATCAAACTGCCTTCCGTTATTCTATATGGACCGAGTCAATCACGAATCCATGCAAGAGGAAAGCCATAGACGTTTGATTATTTTATTTGTACACGTGGCAGCACATCATGAGTGGTATGCACCGAAGCCCCGTGCATATATACTGTATGCACCTAATTTTTTTTTTTTCCTGATTTTCTGTGAACCAGCTGATCTGTAACAGTTGGAGGTGCCCTGAGAGGTGCGGGATGCTGGTATTACATGAGGCGTCTAATTGAATAGACTAAGCCATTTCTTTTGTGATCGCTGTCGATGTAATTCAGCCGTTGGCTGTGTGGAGCGTTCCATACAACGCACCAGATCGATCAAAGCAGTATAAAAACAACACGCCACACTGTAAAGTGCTGAACGCGAATGGACAAGACAAGAATGCCTCAATGTTCCGACCATGTATTAAAACTTGACGGAAGGCAAAGATTGTGGACAACGGTTGCAGGATGCAAAGCAAAGATAGCTCGAGCCCTCTCAAGAACTAAACAGGGAGATCTACCGGTTTTTATCAGCCAGCCCATACAAGACGACGACGTGTGGCGGCAGATCATCTGGTCAGCTGATCAAGAGCACTGCTCATCCTTCCCTTGCCGTTCCTGCGGTGCCGCCCCCGCACCGCACGGCCGCGCGCGGGCCTCCGGGTGGATGAGGAGCTTGAACCTGCCGTCCTCCTTGCAGGGCTGCAGCGGTAGCTCCTGCGACGGCAGGCGCATCTCCCGCAGCACGAGGCGTCCACCCTCGCGGTGCGCCCGTAGGCTGAGCCACGGCCGCCCGCCCTTGCCGATCACGGAGATCGGCGGCGGGAACGCCCGTGCGCTCCTCGTCTGCCTCAGCATGATCACGTCCTGCTGGTAGTGGTCGTCGCTGCTGCTGCCGCAGGCGGCGTCGTCGAGCTGCTGCAGCTGCCTCCTAGAAGCAGGCAGCGGGGCCGTCGCCGGCGCCGCCGCTGGCGCAGTGAACGGCTGCTCCGGCGACGGCGTCGTCCGCCATGTGGAGGTGGCGGCACGTCGTCGTCGTCGGAGCCAAGCGCTTCGGTGAGGTGGTCGAGGAGCAGGGGAAGGGGAGGGGCGGGGCGGGGGCAGAGGCGGGGGGCGGAGAGGGATAAGTAGCGTCGGAGGTGGAGCGGTGGGGGTGCCATGGGGATGTCGGACGGTCGGACGGGCGTCGAGCGCGGGGGGTACATTACGTGGATGCATGCACGGTTGCGGCACGGGCGTCGTCGGGTACGTGGGTGCATTCGAGACAAACCGTAGAGATTTTTTTTAATTTTAACCCTTTTTAATATAATTTTAAATCTAACACTGTCGTTTTTTTTAAACTAACACTTTTGGCCGCGCCTATTGCCCTGGCGCAACCAAATGCCTATGCCGCGCCATGCATGGTGGCGCGGCAGAGGCCTGACGTGGCGGCGACCATCCCCGCTGACCGCTGACGTGGCAAGGCTCTGCCGCGCCACCGATCTTGGCGCAGCAGTGCCGCGCCCTGATCCGTGGCGCGGCAGAGCCGGGTATAACCATCGCCGCAGCCTCTTGCCCGAGCAGTTGGCGTTCCGCGAGAAATGCACAGAAAGCGGCCTTGCGCGCGTGCCGCTTCGCCCGCGCCTGCCCGGCGCCGAGGACGCCGTCCTCGCGCGCCACCACGCCTTGACAAAGCACTGCATTCGACCAGCGAGAAGCGAGCGCGTCGGCCACCAGCCGACCACAGCCACCGCACCACACGCAGCGCCTCCCCTCCAGCCAGAACCTCCGGTCACGCAGGGCTGCTGCCCGCCTAGGCCTACGCCCGCGCCTCTCGGCCCGGTCTTGCGCGCTGCAGCGAGGTACTCCACTAATATAGTTAGCACAGTTAATAAAGTTAGTAAAATTATCAAAGTATAGTTAGTAAAGTTAGTTAGTTTAGTTAGTATACGTAATATAATTAGTTAGTATAGGTAGTAAAGTAAGGTAGTTTAGTAAGTACAGTTATTTACTCTAGTTGCACATTGGATTTAGTCTAATAAGTTGTTGTAGTTAGCCTTGTATAGATGTTAATATTTGATTAGTTAGTATAGTTATAGTTAGAAAATGTAATAATGTTAGTATGGACATTACGTACGATGATTTCGACGACTTGATGAAGTTTCTTAAAATGCTTTTGCAGATAGATTGTTGTGTTAGAGTTTTATTCGGAGGAAGTGTTAGGAGAGAAGATGGTATGTTTGAGGATATGTAAGAAGAATTGGAATGGTTTGATGAGCTTTCTAGCTTCAGCGACCTTTGTGTCCGTTTGAATACAAAGTTTGGGGGTGATTTCACACTGAAGGGGAGGTTTGATACTGAGAAGACTAGGGCACACTATGTTCTCATGCCCTTGCGCGACCCTGCTCACTGGTCCCGCTACATTAGGGTTCTCCAAGGTTCCAATGTGCCCATGGCTGAGGTGGTCGTGGAGAATGGGTACATGATGCATTGTGTGCAAGACGGCCCGTCCATTGATGGTTTTAGAGGCAATGAACAAGAATTAGGTGTCGAAGGGGAAGCAACTCAGGATAACATGGATTTGGACGGTCAGTTGACGCAGGAGCAGTTTCATTCAACTGCAGTAGGCACTATGGCGCGGCATAGACGCAAAACCATGCCTATGTAGCACCATAACTTGGTCTATGGCGCGGCAAATAATTACGTTCGTTTTAGAAATTTTGAACGCATGATACAAAAAGATGTGATCACTTAAGATCGATCATGGGTAATCCGAGTACATGATACATGGGTACAATACATCGGTAGTTCAAAAGAAATATAAGACAACACAATAGAATTTGTAGTACACAGCTACATGATCATTAATAAAGCATGGAACTAACAGACGGCGTAATAAAAAACCCTCAGTCAGAAACATACTGAGTAAGCAACTCGTCGTCCGAGTACTAATCCTCAACCACAACCCTATTGCTGTTGCTAGGCTCACCTACGTTGCTCTGACCTGCCTGTCGCCTGTAGTAAGTGGCCTCCGCTTCATCTACAGCCGCTGCGGCCTGAGTGAAGAACGCGTCGTCATCCTCCTCAGCCTGTAAGCCCACCTCTACTAGAGCGATGAGCTCGCTCAGTCTGCTAGTGTCGTCGTCGTCATCCTTCGCCTGCATGCCCGCCTCTGCTAGAGCAATGAGCTCACGCAGTTTCCCAGTGTCGTCCTCATCCTCGTCCCCCTCATCAGACAACATAATCGGTGATTGAACGGTGCGACCAGCTCACGATCCATGCTCATCTAACTTCTTTTCCTCATACCTCGCACGAGCCACCTCTGCGGCATGATCCTCGCTGCAACCAATCCCTTCATGTATAAAATGCAATCAGTTAGCAACGCGATTATATTACATTTAAAATCAAAAAAAGGCGTTCAAGCACTCACTGGCACACAATGCAGCAACATGCTCGTTCAAGACCTGCATCTGTACTCGTCTCCTCCCTTGCCTCCTTCCTTGCCCTCTCCTCCTCTAACGTCATCCGCCTCTCCAATCCCCATTTGTTAAGCCCAACATCGATCGGGTTACAAATACCGCGTTGTCTAGCAAACTCACGCATCTTTTCTTTATGATGTTTAACGAATAGGTTGACGTAGTTAGGTCCATATCCCCTCTTCCGTGCAATTAGTTGCCTCTTCTTCAGTTCATCCAAGAACTGAGCTTGACCATCGTAACGTTCCCACCTGCATTTTCTAGTGCTATGTTCAAAAGAAATATTATATCATATATATCTTAGCAAAAGAAAGAAAATATGATTTCATGTTTACCACAAAAATAACGAACCTCTTCGTACTCAACCATATGGCCGCAATAATGGCCTATTCCAAGCTCTGAAGGGACTAGGCCATAGTTTGAATTAACACCACATTCGCACTTGACTGGTGGTGCTTTGTAAATTAACCTTTCTTTCTTCTTTTGTTTTGCTTTTGGAGGTTCTTCGGGCCATTCGTTCTTAGGACCATACAACCACTCCTTGAAACGACACTTCGGCATTGAATGCACCTAAATAACGTGACATTAGTACATGAACACATATAGCTAAAGATTTCAACACATACACTTTACACTTACTTCATGCTTGTTTGGACACACAAACTCCAACGTATTGTCAGGGTTTATCACAGCTCGATCTCCGCAATCGCACCGAGGAGGTTACTCGAGTCGTTTAACTGCGGCTAGGTGCTTCTCCTTAGCCGTCATTGGTGGAGGGTTAGGGGGGTGGAACCCACCGCTTGAAGCGCTCACGGGGATTTCTCCTTCTAAACCAATCGTCAAAAAGTAGGTACCTAGGATCAAACTTGTCTGCACCGTCGATCCACTGAAAGAAAAAACACCTCTCATGGTCCTACAAAACAAAAATTCAACAAAATATTAGTAATCTAGTAATACAAATGAAGAAGAAAAAGATAGTAGAAACAATTATTTACATTAAAACAACTGCACATGTAGAAGCAACGGGCCGCTGTGTCGGGATGTCTCGATTGAAACACGTCGGCCGGATGACCACAGTCACAATTAGGGATAAAGAGTTCAGGAGGGACGGGGCATCTTTGCTAGACTCGTCGGGGTACATTTCTCTAGGACGATCCCGTTTTTGCCATAACTGCTCCCGAAACATGTCTTCCATCTAATAAAACGGTTCAAATTAAACATCAATCAAAACAACGCAAATTAATGAAAAATGTAATCATTTGCAATGGAACTAAAATATTATAAACAACAATTATAGCAACAAAAAAATACATGGCAAACATACTTCTAACTAAATAATTAACCTTAACATTGACAAACTCAAACTTATATCTTCACCATAGTTCTCAAACATAATTTTTCTGCTAACCTTAACTCCATTCATAATATCATATCCACCATTCAAACGAAAATAAAATGTGCGTAAGAACCTTAAACGAGGACGGGGAGGGATGGAGGCGGCCGGAGAATGGAAGGGAAGGGAGGGAGGCGGCAATGGAGGGCCGGCGGTTGGGGCTGCCGCCATTCGTGGCGCGGCGGCCGGTGTGGTTGGCGACGGGCGGCCGCGGTGGCGATGGACGGGCGCGGGAGCGACGCCTACGCGGCCTTGCTGCTCGGGCAGCGGGACTGGCGGCGGTGGTTATACCCGGCTCTGCCGCGCCACGGATCAGGGCGCGGCACTGCCACGCCAAGATCGGTGGCGCGACAGAGCCTTTCCACGTCACCGGTCAGCGGTGATGGTCGCCGCCACGTCAGGCCTCTGCCGCGCCGCCATGCATGGCGCGGCACAGGCATTTGGCCGCGCCAGGGCAATAGACGTGGCTAAAAGTGTTAGTTTTAAAAAAAAACCGACAGTGTTAGATTTAAAATTATATTAAAAAAAGGGTTAATTAAAAAAAATTCACGGGAAAAAAATTCAGTAAAAGCAACTTCAAGAGATCCATGAAAAGTTAACACTCAAAACTTATTATTGGAGGCTCTCTTAAATAAATTGTATTCCAAAATTAGTTTAGCCCACAGCAGCTCCCTAATACCTTGCTCTCAATACTAACACGTCATTAGTTAGTTGGATCAGAGATCGAATTAGTTAAATCTGGACTCTTTCCGTCCGCTCGTTGCTTCCTGTTGACTTCTCCAACCTTCAGTACACGTACGTGTGGGCAGGCAAAGATCTTCTGCGGTGCCGAGCCCTCGCGGACGTGCCGGTCCCAATTCGTAGCCGCGCCACCCGAAGCCGCCGTGCCACGACACCAGCTAACACCCTGACGCTGTGCCTTTCTCCCCGGCGCGCCACTCCCTACAAGTTTTCTGCAATGAAAAGTTCAGGGTTTCTACAGAAAAACTTGCAAAGAAGATACACGATTTATCAGAATATATCACCCATTCCAAACATAATATTACTAAACACATGCTATGCGGATAACAAGACAGGATCCTCAGCAGCACACACACATTCCAGAATCTACTTAACTGCAACCATGAACTAGAAGTATACTGAACCATTTGTACAAGCGCAGGCGTCCGGACGTCCCGGGGCGCTAGCAAGCTCGAAAAAAATTGCGTGCATACAGTATGCACCGACCATCCATGCATACATGTCGTGGATGAATGCCACATGTCCTCACCTCATGATCCAACAGCACATATCAGGCTGCCTTTTGAGAGACTACATGGGCCAAGTCAATCACGAATTAGTGCAGATAAACAGAGAAGGACCACGAACGT